CCCCCCCCCCCCCCCAAAGGATGTGGGGCAATTCACGGTGAGGAAAGTCAGCCAACCATAGCGTTTTATAGCCTCATCAAGGTCGCTATTTCACGCAGAGCTGTAGTGAAACAGAGGAGCAGCCTGCGACTCTTTGCGTTGTACAGCACGCCGAGGATGAGTGCGGGATGTGGGAAATGTTGTTGTAATTCAGGCCTATTTCATGTGCTCATTACTCAAGCATCCATTATGTCGAACTATTACTTGTAAAGTGTCATAGGCCCACTGAGTACCTTCACTGATTGTTTTGCAGTGTTGGGGTCATCTGGTAAAAAGGTCGTCTTTCATCACTGGCTAGACCTTCTGTTTGTTGCACCGTTTCCTAATGCAATGATTAAAAACAACAACATTGATAATGGTGTTCCCAGCACGAAACAATGGACGGAAATCCCAACATCCGTTTTACTGAAAAATGGCATTCATGCGCCTGCTGTGTTGCCTTCCTCAGGATACAGTAGAAGACGTTTTCTAACACATTTGAACAGCAACTATTAAATTACCAAAAAAAAAAAGAATAAGAAAGTGGCAATTTTGTCGTATGGTGTTCTGAAGTGTTCTAAATATTAATAAAGGTAGAGACATCAGCTGTTTAAAGGGACACTAGGCAAATAAAAGTTTCCCTAAGATAAAAAAAACTGATTTTGAGGTTAAATCTGTTTATCAGTCAGCGTTGAGAAAGAGTCATTTTGATGTAACTGTTTCAAAATGACATCCAATGTTCTACAGGACTAGACCTAAACTAAGTTAATTAATATTCTTTCATCGTGTTCCTACAGCTGGATGTTTGAGNNTTTCTCTGTGCTCACTGAAAATATGATTCTAAGGGTTGGGGCCTATGAGCTTCATTTATGATAAATACACAATTCACAAATAGTTTGGACATCTAACCTGAACCTAGAAACCTGAAGCCACCAGTGCACAGACACTGATAACTTTACAGTAAAGTGGGAAACATCTTGTGTCCAGCAGGAAAACCTCAGAAACTAACAATGAACAAAATTTGTATAGTCATAGATTCAGGAATTTTTTAATGAGGTAGAAGGAGTAGGTGTCCGTTGAAGAAATTACGCTTGTTTTGCTGGAAAAAAAGATATCAGACATACATTATTTTCCCAAGCAGGCTATTTTTATGTGTTGTAATACATGTCTGGATTAGATCTGTAAGGAGGTAAAAATAATTAAAAAAAAAAGAATATATTTGCAAATTCTTCAGGTCTGTCTGGTTGTTTCATTAAGTCTTGCACCATGCAGGACTTCTTGTTTTTTCTTTGGTATTGACATTAAATGTGGAATGTGGCTGTGGGGTGATTATGCCTCTTGTGGATGGCTCACACAAGGCTCTTGACAGTCTTGTGTGTCTCAGTTGTCATGATTATTTAGCGTATATATACACTTTAATATTGTAGCAAACAGAATCCTTTTTGCTTTTACAGCACACTTAATCCTACTCTGCAGTGAAGCCAAACAATCTGCCATCAACAGTTTCCCATATGCAGTCCACTGCCAGTCTCTCCTCACTGGTATGTTAACATTTCAGAACTGCTTCTCTTGGGATTCCACCAAAAACACTTGTATTTGAGATGATGTGGGGCAACCTACAGACATCTGCGATTACATCGCCTAGAGTAAATGAAGCTCCTTACTCTGAACTGTAATGAGTTATTTATTTAGTTGAAGGGGCAACCAAGAGATGATCTGGAGATGGAGATCATTCCCATTCCAGCCCTTTCTTTCTTTCTTTGCTCCTCAGGGAGAGAGAAAATGGCAGTGTGGCACCAGGGAAGGCAGGGCAGAATATCAAATCTTTTCACGCAAGCTTTCGGCAGTCATGAGCCAGACATGAAACAGCATAAGCACAGGGCTCATGTTTAAAAGAGTGGAAGTTCTCCTACCTTAATATTTGTATTTGTATGTACTGAATTACAGTTTGAAAGATTTAAGAGAGGCCTAATCGACAAACAGGAGCTACATTTCATGACACGACTATAGTAAAACAACTGTGAAACCTCTTGCAGGGAAGCCTTAACCACTTCACCCTCTCTTGACATTTGAAATAACAAATTGTAATGATGACAAAGCTACAGGTTCTTTCATTGCAAGAACAAGATTAGAAAACAGTTGCGATGGTTCGCCTTTACAATACGCTGAAACAACACAACTGAGAGTATGGAACAACTTATCAAACAAACTCACAGAGAGTGCAGACAGCAGCCCCCTCGTGTGTGTGCGGTGATAATTAGCAAGGGGAAGTATTAAATTAAAGCAAGGCAGTCATTTTATGAGGCAAGCATTTATGAAGGTAATAGCATCCCTATAAATTAACGACCTCCCAATGCCTCCTGATGGGTTGCCACTCATCAGGTCCAGAGCAAACCACTGATACGTCCACGATGTGACCTCATCTGCTCAGTCTTGGTATTCCTGCCCCCGGGGGCTTACACTGAGATGAGAGCTTGGGAGAGTGGATGTTTGTGGAGGGACATGTGGCGTCGAGACAAAATGCATGTTGTCATTAGATACAATATGTTTTGGTATGCACTTAATCAAAAAAAAAGAGAGAGTGTATTTGGGTCAGTTTCCAGTGTGTGTCTGGGCTTTGTGCGTTTACAGAGTCCATATAATTACTTTTCACAAGACTACAAAAAACTGTAAATTTCTCTTTTCTAAGAGTATATACATTGATTTCCCAGACCACTTATCTTATGTCAATTCAGCTGTGAGTGTGGACACACCCTGCCTCTAGTCCAGACTGGGTATGGGAAACAAGGTGCTCTCTTTACACTTTAAATCAATCTTGGTTGCCAGGGGGGAGTCATCCCTACATGAACAACATGAGGCTGAAATAAAGCCCGTGAAAATGACTGCTCCTGTGGAAAAAAGCAGGGCAAGCGAGAGCAGGAGGAAAGCAGTGCCATTTAGAAAGCCTAAATCATCCCCTGAACTATAAATCCACTGACCGCTCATCATTCAGCAGCATTTTAAAAAGCCCTTAAAGAAAAACACTGAGTGAAATGAATATGCTGTCACCTCTCATTTGGGTCTGGCCCGCTGGCTCAATAAGAAAAGTGTTGTTCCCTGGAAGGCTGCTAGCCCGGGCTGAGCTCTCAGGTTTAGGGTTTACCCCTGTCCCGCATTCTCAAGGCTTTTACTTTGAGGCCCGCGTCTCTCTTACCTCCCCCACGTCCCCCCAGACATGTCTGACAGGCTGAACTCGATGTGGGCTGCTCACCAGACTACAAAAATCATTCATCTGTGCCTTCAGACGGTCAAATCTGGATCTAATAAAGGGAGCTTGCCTATTGATCCTATTCATTGGGCGAGCTACTGCCAATTCTTACCACTGGAGGGCTCTCTGGCTCAAGGTAGAAGCTGCTCACTGAGGACTCTGGTACCCTTTTGTTCAGAATGGGAGACATTATGAACAGGCACTGATGATTCCTTTTTTCCCTGAAAATTAGCTCAGGTGATTCATTATTAAAACATGTTCTGAAGGATTTTTTTTCTTTCTTAATTTAAAAAAATCCTTCAGGTTTTATTTTTCTTTCTTAATTTAAAAAAAATGTTAGCATAACATATTGAGATACTTGTACCTGTGATTTATCCAAAGACAACATGCTCGGTACGAATGCAACCTCAAGAGACTCACATCTGCAAGATAAGATGTTGGTTTCCTATTCTGAGCTGTTTGAGGCTTTAAAATGGCCTTGTGGGGTTATCGAGGCCAAAGACAACAACAACACCAACCCCTTTTCACCTGTGGCACAAACAAACATGTGAAACAGGAAACATACGCCTGCTGTGCACTGACACAGTGCCTGCCAAATGAGAGCAGGACATTGTTAACAGTCAAGTGCAGCAGAACCAAAGCATAGGCTGCAAAACAACACAAGAAACATCCTCGCGCAAGGATAGGGAGGCATCTAAGAATGAAAGAGGAGAGGGACAGCAAGGAGAATGAGTCACTTTTAGGGTTGTGT